AGGTGTACTAGGTGGAGACTTCATCAGAATGTAGAGACCATTTTCGTATCTAGCTAAACCAATCTTCTTCCCAAGAGTGTCCTGAATTGCACATTGTCCAGACATAAATGTTAGTTTGCAACAAGCATCTTTTATAAGTTTACTTACGGATATTATGTTGAACTTGAAAGATGGGATATGAAGGACATCTTTCAAGAACAGTCCACTGTCAAGGTTAACATTCCCTACATACTCAACAGAAATACAACTCCCAGTGGGCAGGTTAACTTGTGCACCATGAACAATATGATATTCATCAAACAAATCAAGGGAACAAGCAATATGATCCGTGGCTCCGGAATCTATTATCCAAGTGGAAGCATTTGAAGAGATTGAATTAACATGAATGAAGGAATACATGCCTTCATTTTCAGAGCTTGTCTCTTTGAATTTTGGTACAAGGGACACTGCTGCAGTAGTGCTTGTGTTTGATGATTGCCCAACTTGAGCCTGTAGTAGGGATAAGAGCCTTTGCAACTGATCAGAGTGCTTCCAAAATCACCAGAACTGCTAGCCGAGATTTGTTGCTTGTTGCAGCTGTTTCCCCTTTGATTTAAAACCCGGAATCCATCCTGGAGGATATCCGTGCATTTTATAACATTTTTCGATCGTGTGGCCATTCATTCCACAAAAAATACACTTAGCATTCTTGTTACCATTCCCAGTTCGCCTGTTATTATAAGTGTTCAGAGCTGCTACTGTCTCAATATTTGAGTTGTCTGTTATTCCAATCTGAACAACATTGGCTTGGCTTAGATCTAGGTTGTTTAGGTTCACATTGTCAAGCCTGATCTGTCGTTCCAATTTCTCGGCCATAACAAAAATCTTGTGTACTTCAGGCAGGGGATCAAGGACAAGCACATTGCTTTTAAGACTGCTATACTCATCATTCAGACCTTGAAGAAATCTTATAACATGATCTTCATCTCTTTCTATCCTGATCATATCAATCAAATCACATCCACATTTTGGATCACATTTGTAGTAGGGAAGGGGCCTTAACACGTTCATTTCTTCCCGTAGAGTCTTGCACTTAGTATAATATTCACTAACGGATAGATTGCCCTGCTTTAGGCCATATATCTCATTCTGGAGAGCAAAAATTTTCTATGAATCATGTTGTGAGAATCGGCGTCTCAGATCCTCCCAAACATCCTTTGCTTTGTCCAAATGTAGGATACTTTGAGCGATCGAGGGACTTACAACTTTGAAGATCCAAGAGCACACCATTAGGTTGCAACTCCTCCATGCCTGAAATTGTTGACTTTCTCTGCTTGGTGCCATGACGTTGTCGTCGATTAGGCACCATTTGTTCTTCACTTCTAGCGCAATTCTCATCGAGATGCACCAGATGTTGTAATTAGCACTTCCGTTCAGGGGAGGGCTTACTAACACAGCGCTTGGATTCTCATCTGTACTGAGGAAGAAAGGATTGTCCACGTCTTCATTCCTTTGTTGCTGAGAATTCAAGCTTTGCTGCAGAATTGTCGTAGTTGTCGGATTCGGCGAGTCAGTAGCTGCTTCATGGCTTCCTTCACCAGTGACTACTGCGGCGTACGTGCTCCGAGGGAGCTCTGATACCATGATGGAGCTTGTTACATATGTTAAACAATGAAACAGAAACAGAGAAAAAACATGGGATGAGGAAGAAGATGATTGGGAGTCTCTTATTGCAGTACTGAACCAACTTGTACAATATAAAGGAAGGAAAAAAGATTATTATGGAAAGAAACAATATATAAGGATTCCCAATCATTATCCTAATTATTATGGAATTATTAAGGAAAAGATAGAAAAAACGATACTAAGATTCCCACTTATCTGTTTCATCTTCATCCTCCAACAATTGTAATTCAATGGAATAATTTATATATAATTGTTGGCACAATATTTTATTAAGTAATGTTATATTCTTAGATTTTGTTGTTGGATATTGGTGAATAAATCGATACAAAAAAATATATATATAAAATATATATTTGTCCCGAAAAATGGAATTTAATTTATAAAAAATTAATTCCTACCAATTTTGGTACAAAACCAAAACACATATATATACAACGTATATATATTAACCAAATAGGGATTTATTTTATCAAAAATAATCCCACCACAACTAGTACGAAACTAGTACAAGGGTTTAATCTTTACAAGATTAATCCCACCACTTGGTACGAAACCAAAAAGAAAATAAACAAGAAAGGGTTTCTAACCTGAGGTTTTAACCTAACGAGAAGAAAAAGAAGAAGCAGAGATCCGAGTCGTGTGTACTATACACACACTCTCCTTAAAACCGATTCGCCACCTCCTGAGGGTGCTAGGATCGTTGTGGCGTCAGTCTCCCAGGATAAAACGAACTACGACTTTGGCGTTCGAACACTCCAACCCAAAGCCCGGCGAACTAGAACACAAGTTGAGCACTCCGATGTTTTACGGAAATGTTGGTAGAATCTCTTTGTAACAAACAACTTTTGAGAGAAGATGAGAGAAAAATATGATTTTGCAAGTTCAAAATTCGACAAAACATTCTACCCAACACATAGGTTTTTATAGGGGAGAGAGGAGTTAGTAGCCCACTAAATGACACATTAAACCAACATAAAACCAATTTAATAATTGGATTATAACGTTTGAAACGAGCGTACTTATTATCAAAATAATATCAACGGTCACGAACTTAATATCTGATTAATTCATACCGACCATATAACGACCCGTTTCAAAAATATCTGAGTGACCGAGAAATCCGTACAAACTGGGAGATTTAACAAATTGGGACTGGAAACCACACCCGAGTGGTCCACAAGCACCGAAACGGTGCATCAAGAATCAATGCATATAGCATTGACTCGTGCACACCGAATCCACAGCACGAAATGAGCTGCTTTGGAATCCAAAGCTTAAGCACTCTTGATTCGTGCACAACTTTCGTCCATGCAACAAAAGCAAAGCACAAAATGTGCTAAAATCCCAATTCACTAATTAAGCAACCAATGCTTAATTACACTTAAGCTCTAAAACAATTTCCGTGCAGTGCAACGAAAGTTATTAAAATGCTGATTTCTAATTAGCATTTAAACTTAAGTTTTTGACTTCACTTTGAGAATCAATTTCCCATTAACCTATTACCCATTTTGAGCGTACATTATATCAAATTCTTCGTCTCACTACGAAGAACTCAAATCAACTTTGATCCGACCCAAATCAGAAGTGGATCCCACATATATTTGTACCACAAAATAATCACTCAAAATGTCATTTTATGCTAAAAATTTCAACATTTGTAACATTGCATTGTGATATTTTCCGCAATTATTTTCATGTTCATTGATTTGATCGAATAAAAGTTGTCATAATCAACCATATTCATGGGTTACAAATCAAAGTCGTAGCAAAATAATAATAATAATAATAAATTGATACAAATAATTTAGGAAAGCATCATTTTTTTAGATTACGATTTATTAAATAACTATTCAATCCTCTCAAAAGATTTTTTCGTTTCACCATTATAAAATTACCTCAATTTAATTTAACTTGTATTTTAAAAATTAGTCATTAATTAAAGAAGTTAGCAAACCATAGACGACTGATAGACCGGGGTGGCTACTTTTACAAATCATGATGATGAAGTCTTCCGAAAGAGACGATATAATGAATTAATGATCAACTTGCCAAGAAAAAATAACAATAAATTTTTGCTAAGAAATTTTGGGAAGGGGGAATTATGAGTACCGTTAAGTTTGGGCAAGAAATTATGCAAATCATTCAATTATAGGTTAGCATCCAAAAGAACCGTCAAACATATGCTGCTATATATATATATATATATATATATATATATATATATATATATATATATATATATATATATATATATATATATATATATATATATATATATATAGAGGAAGGTTCAAGTGCGGCAGTGCGCTTAGGTGCGGCAGTGCGGTTAAATGTAGGCCATTAGATTAGATAAATTCAACGAATCACATTCATCTAGGCTTTTCCGATATTTTCGAGCACGTTCTCACACTACGCGAACTGCAAGGTTAAAGTCGTCATTGGGCACCTGAATAGATCAAATCATAGTGTTGTGTGTTTTATGTTCGTTATTGGTGCATTATTAACCTTACTGTGGTGTATTTGAGGATTCGTGTTGGTGCCAAGTTTGGGTGCACCCGCGCCTTCCCATGCGGTCAGTGCGGGTGCACTAATAGTTATACAAATATACACCATCCATGTTAGAAAATGCACACCAAAAAAACATATCACAAGTTAGATATGCATCACCAGAACGCACCATTAGGTATGAATAAAAGCACCACACAGTGTTCAGAAATACACCATTGGGGTGGTGAGTTATATGGTGTATTTTTTGAGTGTGTTGTGTGTTTTTTGGTGTATTTGTGCATTTCATTGTGGTGCTTTTTCCTAACACTATTGGTGTCTTTTGTTAACACTGTTGGTGTATTCTGACAAGCGGCCGATATAAATGACCACTACAATTACCATAACACCCCCCACTTATCAGGACGCGCTTAAATCTTTAAATCTTCAGAAATTAGCCGCTGCCGTTAGATTAAGCAAAATGGACGATGCTGATATAGCCGCACCTAAAGCCACTGCCGCATTTGAGCGCTAATATATATATATATATATATATATATATATATATATATATATATATATATATATATATCTAACATATGCTGCTTCCATACACAAAACTCAAAAAGAACTCAAAAAAAAAAAAAAAAAAGGTATTTACTTTTGAGACACCATGAAACATACCAAGCATAATATTATGCTAGTGCTTATTTTTCTTGTGCTCATTTACAAATTTGAGTATTGTTACTCAAATGATGTTGCTAGTTGCGTTGAAGGGGAACGAATTGCTCTTCTCCAATTCAAGGAAAGCTTAATTGATATGTCAAACCGTCATGGAGCGGTCTTGATTGTTGTGAATGGGAGGGAATTTCTTGCACAACCCAGCTACACCTGATGATGATGATATTGAGAACTGGATCAATGGTTTGCCATCAAACTATAGCAACAACTGCTTGAGAGGTGAGATCAATCATTCTCTTGTCAACTTAACACATTTGAATTACCTTGATCTAAGCCTCAACAATTTTTCTCGGATCCAAATTCCTAAATTCTTTGGATCTTTCAAAAACTTGAGGTATCTTAACATCTCAAGCTCTGGTTTCGTGGAAAATATTCCCACTCATCTTGGAAATCTTTCAAGCTTAGAGTATCTCCACCTTGGAGAAGCTTTGGATGGAGTTATATCTAATGATTTGGGTATAGATAACTTGGACTGGTTGGCTTGCCTTTCTTCCCTAAAAAGCCTTGACATGTATCGGGTTTCAATTCGACTTCTTTAACCTCTCTTGATTTAAGTGATAATAGATTTGTAGGTTCAATTTCCAATTCTCTTGGAAACTTGACTTCTTTAACCTCTCTTAAGTGAGAATAGCTTTACAGGTTCAATTCGAAATACTGTTGGTAGTCTATCAGATAGTTTGACAGAATTGAACTTAGATTCTAACAATTTCACTGGTCAACTTCCAAACCAATTGTTCAAGTATAAGAATCTGCAAGTCCTTTCTCTGTCTTCAAACTCCTTCTCTAGTTCAATAATGGAGTCACTTGGAAATTTGTCAATGTTGCAATTGCTGGATATTAGTAACAATAAGTTTAGTGGCAGTATTCCCTCTAGTCTTGGTGAACTTTCAAATCTTAAATTATTATATATATATAATAATTCATTTGTAGGTGTCCTCTCTGAATTTCACTTTACTAAACTCAATAAGCTTCAATATTTGTAACATATCTATTAATTTGTTTGTTCCACCTGGGTTCCTCCTTTCCAACTCTCCGGCATAGCAATGGAATCCATCAAAATTGGTCCTCACTTTCCTCATTGGCTTCGTACCCAAAGAAATGTTCGATCTCTGTTGATGTCTAATGCCAGCATCTCAAGTGCTATCCCTGATTGGTTTGAGAAATTTTTCTGGAATAGCTATGCATTAGATCTCTCTAAAAATCAGATAAGTGGAGAACTTTCCTTGAAACCACATGTTGAAGGTTACAGCAGATGAATTACCTTTCTCTTTCAAACAATCATTTGCTATGTAGTTTAGAAGTTTTAGAGATTCTTGCTCTATCTACAAATAAGTTATATGGAGAAATACCTCCATGCTTAGGAAAACTACAAAACTTGGAAGTTCTTGACTTGGGGAATAACAATCTAAGTGGCCACATTCCAAAATCATTGGGATCTCTACAAGGACGACTATCCTCTCTCCACTTGCAGAATAATGAACTTGAAGGGAAACTCCCATCAAGCATGCAGAATTTAACAAGTTTGATAATCTTGGATTTGAGTGAAAATAAATTTATGGATGTTATCCCTTCATGGATTGGAGAAAAGTTACTAAGTTTGAAATATCTTATCTTTTATAGAAATAAGTTCTATGGGGATATTCCATTGAAACTATGTCAACTGCATGATCTTCAATTGTTAAATTTGGCAAATAACAACATATTAGGATACATTCCAAAATGTTTTGAAAACTTTACTGCAATGGCTTTTGGTGGCAACCAGATAGATATTGAGCAAATCACATATTCTGGTAGAACGTATGAAGATGAAATTGATGAAGTCATAAAAGGATTAACATTGCAGTACACTAAAAACTTTCGATTCCTAATATCTATAGATCTTCCAGGGAATCATATTGCGGGAAAGATCCCAGTTGAGATAATGAGTTTGCATGCATTGGAGAACTTGAATGTTTCTAATCTAAGTGGAACAATCCCTGAGGCTATTGACAATTTGAGCAAAATTGAATCACTTGATTTATCTAGAAATGAACTCTATGGTTCCATTCCACCAAGCTTGTCATCTTTGAATTTTTTGAGCCACTTGAACTTATCATTCAACTATTTACATGGGAGAATTCCAACAGGAAGCCAACTTCAAACCCTCAATGATCCATCCATTTACATGGGCAACGAAGGACTTTGTGGTGCTCCTCTTCCAAAGGGTTGCCCGGGTGATGTACCATCTTTTGTTAATCAATCTACAAAAACTAGTAGTGGTGATGACCACGAGTTTTTCATGTGGTTCTATGCTGGTATGAGACCTGGTTTCTTTGTTGGATTCATAGGAGTATTAAGCATTCTACTGTTTGCAAGATCTTGGAGCTATGCGTACTTCAAATTTTTAGAGACAGCTTACAACAAAATACACGGACTGTTTTTATTAAAGGTTAGAGTTTTCTATATGCAGTAAACACGACTTACAACAAAATACTCTCGACTATTTATTTATTTATTTATTTATTTATTATTATTATTATTATTATTATTATTATTATTATTATTATTATTATTATTATTATTATTGTCATCATTATTATTAGTATTTATCATGTATATATGCCTATTTTTACAAGCTAGCTAAAAAAGAATGACATGACTATTCACATTTTCCAGGTCAATGATAGTCAATGAGGAATTGTGTGTTGAAGGTATTCGTCATTGGTCTTTAATGTGGATGGATTACTCTTGACATGTTGGAAGGGAGTTTCTTCCTATAACCCAAAAGGCAAAAGAGTATTGTTGATTTTGATATAATTTGCAATTGATGTTCATCTTATTTATTATTGGTTTTTCAATGTCATGCTTATTGTATTTGCCAAACAAATTCTTATTGAGATGTGTGTTTAATATCATATGACGTTTCTATTGTTACATATATTTTTTTTTCAGTACTTAAGTTTTTTTATAATGATTAGAATCTCATCTGGATTGAAGAAACAATTTAAATGAATTACTATTAACATTATACAGACTAGTATCTTACCCGTGCGATGCACAAATAAAATTCTTTAATTATATACTTAGATAATAAATTTAAAGATGAAATTATAAACAATTTTAATATTTGAAAGTTTACATTTATTTGATTATAAAATTAGTTTAAAATATCACTCAATTAATTAAATAATATATGATTCATTTGTCTGCAACTATTTTGAAAAAATATAATAAATCAATATGTAATATGATTTATGTAATTATATTATTAGTAAAATAAATATGAAAAAATGAGAAGTAATTTAATTGTAATTATTATAAAAATAAATCAAACGATCCCTTTTTAGCTTAATTACCTTATAATTATTATGTAATTAAACTAATTATGTGCAATTATATTTTTATACCTTAAGTATATTCCTTTTCACCTGAAACTGCGTGAAATATTTTAAGGTGTTGAATGACACTTGTGACTTGAGTTTTTTTCACTTTTGGTCCTGACTTTGGTGTCTCCGTCAATTTAGGTTCACAATTTTCATTCCTGACATAAGTAGTGCTCGACTTTAATTTTTTTTTTTCATTTTTAGTCCTTCCAGGCATCTGAGCGGTGGGTTTCAATCGGAATTAATGCATTGCCTTGTATATTTAGATTTTAGAACGGTAAATAAGTCTTTCACCATCACTTAAACAATAAACAAAAGAAAAAAAAAAAGAAAAATTAAAGTCTAACAGCTCATCTTCTTCTCACCCAGAATGTCGGCGACCTCCTCTCCTTTAGCCAGCACCCATCGTAGTCGTCCTTCAGAATTCTCATGGAAAAGTATGCTAAAGGCAAAGAGGGCATCAACAGTGTGAATCCTTTCGCAAGGATCTTCTAATGCTTGGAAGGGTATTGTGGCTGCCAAACCCCTTCTCCTTCAAGGCATGAGAAAATCCATTGAAAATACCCCTATAAGAGTAGGACCAAAAATGGAATTCACTCTAAGTGGAATTAGACTGTTCCACTCCAAAAATGGTAACTAGAGACAGTAGGAGTAAATATCACGGTAAAGGAATTCGAATAATATTCTTGCCTATAATTTTTTAACATGTAATTCATTTTTTTTAAATGAAAATCTAGTCAGTTTTAATTAAAGAAATACTACATTTACTATTATTTTTTACTGCATTATTTATTCTTTGTCTAGGTAGCACAATATGACTAAATTTTAGATAATATAACTAATTTGCACCGTCAAGGGGTAAGAAGACTCACAAAGTCTTTGATTGCGAAAATTCAGGCGTCTAAAAACTGTTTGTATGTATAGCATTATAGTGAGGGACGACTTATGACGTGAACTTCACTTTCAAAGACTAAAATGTTGATATTCATACTATTAAATATACAATATAGTAATGTTTTGGACCTTTGGCACACCTAATGGGATCGTTATGCTATGGACTCGTGTCCAGCATACATTGTGGACGCAATAACGGAGCCATTAGATATTACAATACTTATATGTAAAATTGTGATACTATATTTAGGGTAAATTCAGTGGCGGAGCCACCTTTGAGCTCCAGGGAGCCTTGCCCCCCCCTCCTCCTCATAATTTTCGAAGTTCTATGTTCACAATTTTAGAGCTCTATGTTCATAATTATAAGTTCATAATGTCAGAGCTCTGTGTTCATAATTCCATAACTGTACTGTACATTCATACTTCCATAACTGTACATTCATAATTCTGTAACTGTACATTCATAAAATTTTTGAAGCTCTATGTTCATAATTTTATCACTATATGTTCATACTTGTAAGTTAATAATATCAGAGTTCTGTGTTCATAATTTCATAACTGTACATTCATAATTTTCGAAGCTCTATGTTCACAATTTTAGAGCTATATGTTCATAATTTTATCACTATATGTTCATAATTGTAAGTTCATAATGTCAGAGCTCTGTGTTCATAATTCCATAACTGTACATTCATAATTTTTGAAGCTCTATGTTCACAATTTTAGAGCTCTATGTTCATAATTTTATCACTATATGTTCATAATTGTAAGTTCATAATGTCAGAGCTCTGTGTTCATAATTCCATAACTGTACATTCATAATTCCACAAACGAATAACGCCGTTAAGGGCTTAACGCCATTAACGGCGAGACAAAATCAATTTTTTTTAAACTGAAATGCCGTCGTTTTAGACTCATGTCCATAATGCATTGTGGACACGAGTCCACAGCATATTTTGCCCACCTAATGGGGTATATGAAGACTTATTATAGACCGGTCTTTTTTTTTTCGAACGCTTATAGACTGGTCTTTAATTGTAAATAATTTTAGATGACACTCGATGCACCATAGTGGGACAGTTATACCATGCATCAGGGTCCACCTTGCAAGGTAGACCCAGATACAAAACACACAATTTACATATTCGATGTTCACAATTTACATATACTGTTAGATATATTAAATATAATATATTTAATATAATATATATTAAATATAATCTAATATATCTATAATATATATTAAATATAATATAACAATATATTATATTTATATATTGAGAGAGAAGAAAGAGGAAGGAGAATTGAATTCACTTTGAATTGATGATTAAAATGGTAGAATACATAACCTATTTATAGTAATAGCTAATGAAATGAATTTCTAAAATTATGGGCATGTAACACCCCATGACTCCATGTACTACCTCACACTATGCCCATGTAATACCATGTTGCCATCACACACCTAAACTAATGCTAATCATGGCCACATATTACTTTAATTTCTAACAACTAATTACTAGCCACTTGGTTTAACAATTATAATAATAATATTATTATAACATTGCCTCCTTTAAACCAAGTTGAACATATTGGTCATCCCAATATCCTTCTTCAATTTGAGAAATGTCTCTGTCTTCAAGTTGGATATACTGACTTGTATTTCGTTCTGTAAATCCACTTGAGTCCAATTGACTTCTTTTCAAGAGGTAATTCTGTTAATTCACAGGTACCATTCTTTTCAGTGGCACCAACCTCCTCATCCATCGCCTTAAGCCAATGAGTTTCTGTAGCAGCCTCCTCAAAGGATAAAGGATCACAATCTGCAAAAAGAGCAAATTGAACAATATCTTCATCCGACAAATCATTATCTTGACCCAAAACATAATCCTGCAAGCGAGCTGGTAAGTGGCGCTCGCGCTGAGATCGTCGAACTGACGACTCTGGCTGTGAAGGAGACTGGACATTATCTGGAATCGGTTGCTCTTCAACAATATTTTCAACAGCAGGAATAACAACTGAACTTTCACCTTTAGCTAACCAATCCCAAGCACCATATTCATCAAAAGTGACATCACGACTTATAACAACCTTCTTAGTTTCAGGATTGTATAGTTTATAAGCCTTTGAAGCGTCACTATAACCAATGAATATGCACTTCTCACCTTTATCATCCAACTTCTTTCTCAATGGATTCGGCACGTGGGCATATGCCAAACATCCAAAAACCTTGAGATATTTGATAGAGGGTTTTCTCCCACTCCAAGCTTCTTCGGGCGTCTTATCACGGACACTCTTAGTTGGACACCTATTCAACACATAGACAGCACAAGCAACAGCTTCTGCCCAAAAAGGCTTAGGCAGATCCTTAGATTTCAACATGCACCTCACCATATCCATGATTGACCTATTCTTCCTCTCAGCCACTCCGTTTTGTTGTGGAGTGTATCTAGCTGTCATTTGGTGCTGAATACCCTTTTCTTTCAGAAAATTATCACAAGCAATATATTCTGTACCTCTATCAGTTCTCAAGATTTTAACTTCATAACCACTTTGCTTTTCAACAAAAGCCTTAAATTGTTTGAAAACACCACATGCTTCAGACTTTTGCTTCAGAAAGTAAACCCATGTTTTCCTACTGAAATCATCAATGAAAGTAATAAAGTACTTACAACCTCCATATGAGGGAACCTCCAACGAACACAGGTCTGAGTGAACAATCTCCAACTGTTTTGTGGCTCTCCTTGACTTGCCCACGGGGAAGGGATCTCTATGCTTCTTCCCAATCACACAAATCTCACATATACGATTAGGGACATTCACAACAGGTAAATCAGAAACAAGTTCATTTCTTGCAAGATAGTTTAATCCAGAGAAATGAAAATGCCCAAACCGCATATGCCATAACCAATTATCATCGCAAACTTCAGAATTAAAGCAAGCAAGGAGAGTATGCTTAATTTTCAAAGGAAATAGTCGATTTTGGGACATATTTACCTTTGCAATCAAAACTCCTTTATCATCTTCAATGGTACAACACCCCTGAGCAATATGTATCTTATATCCTTTTTCTGACAACTGTCCCATACTCAACAAATTTTGGTGTAGTTCAGGAACATAGAACACATCGGATATAAAATTTTGAGTACCATCCTTCAACTGAATAGAGATTTTACCTTTTCCCAATATTGGCACCTTTGACTTATTGCCAAATGTCACTTCAGACTGGACTGATTCATCCAGTTCAGAAAACAATTCTTTCTTCCCACACATATGGTTACTACACCCAGTATCCAAGAACCATATGTTCTTATCTGCAGAAAAACTATCGCTGGCTAAAAGTAAAGTTTCAGAACTCTCACCAGACTTTTCAGCAGTGTTTTCAGCAATGTTTGCTTGATTTCCACGATTGTTGTCCTCATTATACCAACAATCTGCAATCTTGTGCCCATACTTGCCACAATTGTAGCAATGAAATGGAAATTTACCTTGTTTGGTATTACCTCTACCTCTTCCTTGGTTGGAGTTACCACGTCCTCCTCCTTGGTTGAAGTTACCACGACCTCTTCCACTAGAACCTCCTCTTCCTCTTCCACGACCTCTACCAGATCCTCCACCTCTTTGATTAGTGCCAGTCACATTAAGGGTGACTTGACTCTTCAAAGCTTCTTCTGCTAGTGGTTCCGATTTTGACGCAATCCTGTCAATATGACTTTCTACCATACCTTTCAGCTCTGCAATTGATAAGAGCTCGGTTTTGTGTGACTCTGTTATTGAAGCCACCACATGGTCATACTTCATCGGCATAGTTCGAAGAACTTTTTCAACCACTGCACCATCTTCAATCGTATCTCCATATAGCCTCATCTTATTCACCATATCAATAAGACGAGTGAAATACGCATCTACTGTTTCTGTAGAGGTCATCTCACAATTATCGTACAACCTTCTCAACGACTGCAACTTAGACTTCTGTGCCCGATCGACTCCTTTGTGTGACACCTTTAAGATGTCCCAAGCTTGTTTTGCTGTTTGAGCACGAGCTAATTGCCCAAAAATGGAATAATGAACACCTTGGTGAATCTGACCCAAGGCCAATTTATCTCGCCGTATAGCGGCTGCTTCAGCTCCTTCGGGTAGACCGGGATCAACAAAGCTCCAAAGATTTTGAGCTTGCAAATGTGTGGACATCATAATTTGCCAATAATTGTAATCGAGTTTCCCATCCAATTTGGGACCCGACCATACAATATTGAAATTTGTTGCCATATTTCACTACGGAAAATATTTCGGGGTTGAAAGGTTGACTGGCTCTGATACCAAATGTTAGATATATTAAATATAATATATTTAATATAATATATATTAAATATAATCTAATATATCTATAATATATATTAAATATAATATAACAATATATTATATTTATATATTGAGAGAGAAGAGAGAGGAAGGAGAATTGAATTCACTTTGAATTGATGATTAAAATGGTAGAATACATAACCTATTTATAGTAATAGCTAATGAAATGAATTTCTAAAATTATGGTCATGTAACACCCCATGACTCCATGTACTACCTCACACTATGCCCATGTAATACCATGTTGCCATCACACACCTAAACTAATGCTAATCATGGCCACATATTACTTTAATTTCTAACAACTAATTACTAGCCACTTGGTTTAACAATTATAATAATAATATTATTATAACATATACAATTACTTTTTACAAAATTGTGAACATTTAATATGTAAATTGTAAACATCCAGTTTGTAAATTGCACAATTTACCTTTTATAAAATTGTGAACATTTAATTAATAGATATGGATTCGAGTTCACATTGCAAAGTGGACTCGAGTCAACAGAATAATTTGCCACCATGGAGGGGTAGAAAAAGATGACACTTGATGCAGCATCCAATACTGATCAATTTAAATAACTCAAAATTTGGATACAAGTAATTTGTACCGTCAAGGGGTAAGAAGACCTACAAAGTGTAAAGTGGGGTTATAACCGTATAAGAAGACTTATCAAAAGACAAGTCTGTCATGATGACTAATTTAAAGGAAGGATCCACGATGCTAGTTTATTTATTTATTTTAAAGTTTATACAACTAACGTATCACGTATGTAGTTCGAATTATAATTGATTGATTAATAAATACCAAATAATACTCCGTAATTATTAACCCCTAAAACTTCAATAGAGTTAATGATAATATATATGTCGAGTAGAGGATAATAATAAGAAGAAGACTTTATGTCGATGGGAATATTTTCTCTCTACTGAGCGATTTTCTTCCCTCTTTCTTGACAGTTATTTAAGGTAATTTTCCCGCTCACCCTAGCCGTTACTGGCGGCGTGCGGTGGGTGGCTGCCATGCAACCGCCGGCGGAAGAATCGGATCCTCCCCTGGAGGAGCCGATGCTTGATGACGACACGGTGCAACCGATGCTTGACGACGATCCGGTTCAAGGATCGCAGAAAAAATCTAGAACAGCGAAGAGAACGTTTGCAGATGCAACAGCCTCCTTCAGCACCTTTAATGGTGGGGAACCGCCGCGTGTAGATTCTACGGATTGGGCCTTCGCAGATCCAGTTCTGACGGACGACCCTCCACCAGATAAACAATATGAGGATGATGGTAGACCTAGAGTCTGGATCCCGAAAAGCGTTCGGATGGAGTTGTGCCAACAATGGAAGATGGCCCTGATCATCAAGTTCTTGGGGAAGAATGCAAACTATAACGTGCTGAGTCGCAGACTCCCGATCCTGTGGGGTATCCAAGGGAGGATGGACTTCATTGATCTTGGATATAACTGTTTTGTGGCTCGCTTTAGCAATAGCACAGACTATCTCCACGTACTCCTTGATGGCCCGTGGAAAATTTTTGACCAGTATCTGGTGGTTCAGAGATGGGAACCGGAGTTTAACCCGTCCACCGCGAAGCTTTCAAAAATTGCTGTTTGGGTCCGGCTACCTAACTTGTGGGTTGAATTTTACAGAGATGATATCATTAAAAGCATTCTTGAGGGAGTTGGCAAGCCCTTGAAAATTGACCGTACCACAACCATGGTGGCAAGAGGAAGTTTTGCACGAGCTGCGGTTAAGGTGGACCTCGATAAACCGTTGGTTACACAGGTTTGGGTACAAGACCAACTTTAAATTATCGAGTTTGAAGGGCTTCATGTGGTTTGCTATGGTTGTGGCGTGGTTGGACATCGGGAACAAGCTTGCCCACGAAATAAAGGTAAACAACCGGTGTCTAATGACATGGACCTCAACTCCTCACCAGTCATGGAGAACGAGAAAGAGGACCAACACACAACTGTTAATGGTAAGGTTTCTCCTTACCCGTCTCCTGATGACCCACGGCATGGCTCGTGGATGCTTGTGACTAGGAAAACGAGAGAGAAACACACCAAGAAGCAGGGTCATCATTCCAGGGGGAATAAACCAACAGGGCGACCGACTCCACCACAGCAGCACTCGAAAGGAAACCAGTTTAGTTCTTTGGCTGACTTGGAGGAGAATGGGATCAACAACGTCCAACCGGCTCCGCCTCAGTATCAGCAGCCAGTTAGGGAACTTGGAGAAAGTTCCAAAGGTAGGTCTTCTGCCACCCATCCCCGGCGGCAACCTCACAGACAGGTTCCCCAGGTTTCGTCCCCTTCGCCTACAGTGGCCGGTAGGCACGACGATCTCCGGCAAATACCCACTGGTACCGCTAGAGGTAGAGGGGGTAACCTGGGGGCTAGCCGTGGGCGTTTCAGAGGAACTGGCCGTGGTGGTCTCGCTAGTTCCCGGCCTCCCGACTTATGGCACGATCATGTTGGATCTGCCTTGACGTTCCAATTTGGTGGCATGCAAACTGCCACCATGGACTTGGCTACGGGCGCTCCCCTCCTTGAGGTGGATGGAGCTGCTGTTTGTTTCACGCCTAGGGAAGGCGGTTCCCAAACTTCCCCTTCCGCCATCCCTTCTTAATGAAGATCATCTCTTGGAATTGTAGAGGCATTGTAAATGGACGAGTTCGGAGGCACGTTAAACAGCTTCTGAATACGTCTAAAGCCGATGCTCTTTGCCTTCTTGAAATTCGTTCTTCTAAGGCGAGTAATATGATTAAGCTAGCCCACTCTTTAGGCTATGTGAATCATTTCATTGTCGAACCCCTGGGTTTCGCAGGAGGTTTGCTTTTGTTTTGGAAACAAGGTCAAATCGACCTTGAGATCATCCGGCACACCTCTCAGTCCATCCATGTTAGGGTGAACCGGAGGCCGGAGGATGTGTACATTACCTTTGCCTACGTTAGGCCTAATTTGATGGCTAAGCACAGGTTTTGGGAGGATTGAAAAAATTTTGGAAGCTCCATTCACAGTCCCTGGATCGTCATTGGAGACTTTAATGACATCGCGTCTATCGGGGAACAATGGGGAAGTACTCCTGTTAATAATATTTCGCTACAAAGATTTATTAATGCTTTTAGTCTTTGTGGCCTAATAGATCCGGGGTATTCGGGTCAAAATTACACTTGGTGTCGTTTTGCAGGTAACAGAGTCGTTCAGCTGCGCAGGTTGGATCGAGTGCTTTGGAATCTTAATGCCCAGCACTCCTTCCCGGAAGGAAAAATTATGGTCCTTCCGAGACTTCACTCAGACCACAACCCGATTATGTTTGTAGAACAAGCTGGTAGGCCGCCGGACCCTAGTAACCGACCAATCCGTTTTGAGGCGGCGTGGCTGACAAGAGAAGATTACAAAAGGATCTGGAAGGATGCAGCGGCCCTTGGTGACCATAATATCGAGGCCCTTATTTCTTCAGTTACTAAGGAGAGCTTGCATTGGAATAAAAAAGTCTTTGGGAACATCTTTAATAGGAAAAAACGTCTGGAAGCTAGAATTCGGGGAATTCAATTGGCGAATAATTATGCCACCTCTTGTGTTCTCCAGTCCCTCGAAAGAGAGCTCGCTGACGAGCTCAACATGGTCCTTGACCAAGAAGAAGCTCTTTGGTTTCAAAAGTCTCGAATGGACTGGATTAGAGATGGTGACAGAAACACAAGGTTCTATCATAATTCTGCCATGATCCGAAGAAACAGGAATCGCATTAGATTTCTTAAACCTCAAGGGGAGTGGACCGATGACCCAAATATCCTATCTACTCATATCATCGGCTATTTTTCTTCTCTCTTTTGCAGAGTTGATCTAGAGGGAAACACGGAGCTGGTACCAGTCGGGCAGCCCCACAAAATCTCGGCAGTCAGGGCTAACAACCTGCTTAGGAGAGCTTCCGTGGAGGAGGTCAAAAAAGCTGCCTTTGGAATGAAAAAATTCGGTAGTCCGGGACCGGATGGAATCCAAGCAGCCTTCTACCAGCATTTCTGGGAAGATGTGGGGCCAACTCTAACTCACTTGGTGAATCAGGCCCTTAACTCTAGTATGGTTCCTAAGTCCCTTCTCCAAGCGTTCATGACTCTAATTCCAAAGAAAGATAATCCGAAATCGGCTGCAGACTTTAGACCAATCACGCTACTCAACGTAGCTTTTAAGGTAATCTCTAAGACTATTGTGAATAGAATGAGGCCGCTGATGTGTGATCTTATTGGCCCCCATCAGAATAGTTTCCTACCTGGGCGCTCAACGCAAGATAACGTGATTCTTACCCAAGAAATGGTCCACACCATGCATAAAAAACGGGGCCGCAAAGGAATCATGGTTATAAAAATCGATTTGCACAAAGCGTATGACAGTGTGGATTGGGGGTTTCTTGACAACACTCTTGATGGTTTCGGCTTCCCGAGAAAGTTGATCAATCTTATTATGTTCTCGCTTAAAGAAAGTGATATCTCGATCCTTTGGAACGGAGGCCGGTTACCCTCTTTTGTGCTTGGGAGAGGGCTTCGACAGGGCGATCCGCTTGCACCCTATCTCTTCAACCTCGTGATGGAAAGATTGGCCTATGAAATCCAATCCCTTGTCGCTGTAGGCTCCTGGAAACCAGTGCATACCTCTCGTGGGGGTATTGGGATTTCCCATCTCTTCTTCGCCGACGATCTTATGCTTTTCGGCGAATCCTCGGACCGCCAAGCCAGAACTATTCTTAACTGCCTCGAGCGTTTCAGCAAAGCCTCTGGCCTTAAGGTAAATCTTGCTAAATCTCAGATTTTCTGCTCTCCTAACACTACTGCAGGTGTTAAAAATATTATTGAGAATAGGTTGGGTATCCCGATAACGGAAAACCTTGGCTCGTACCTTGGTATACCTATCCTCCAAAGACGAGTTTCCAAAGATTCTTTCACCTCTGTTGTGGACAAAATGCGCAGGAAACTAGCGACATGGAAAGCCAGTTCCCTTAGTATGGCGGGTCGTAGAGTACTAGTGCAATCCTCTTTAGCTACGATCCCGACCTATACTATGCAGTCCATGGCCCTCCCGGTAAGTACCTGTAAACAAATTGACAAAGTGTGCAGGAACTTTCTTTGGGGCCACGCGGAGAATACTAAGAAAATTCATACGATAAGCTGGTCAGAAATATGCAAGCCTCGAGATCTTGGCGGATTAGGTCTTCGTAAGGTAGGAGATTTCAACTTAGCCTTCCTTACCAAGTTAGCCTGGGTGGTCCTCACCAACCCACATAAGCTGTGGGTTAAGGTCATGCGGGAAAAGTACGTCAAAAACAGAAATTTCCTTGACAACAATGTCTACACCAACTGTTCCTGGAATTGGAGCAGCATCCTAAAAGGGAAAAACATTCTCACTGAAGGTATTGCTTGGAAAATTGGGACGGGTTCTTCCGTTAATTTTTGGTATGACAACTGGCTAGGGAATAAAAGTCTAGCCACTTCCCCTAATATTGTTGTACCGGATGGTGGTGGTAACATGCATGTTAAGGATTTTATTATCAGTAATGGCGGGTGGAACTATGCGGCCCTCGAAAGCCTCCTTCCGGGAGACATGGTGGACCGTATTAGAGCTATCCCCATCCCCTTGACTAATGGCCAACAAGACAAGCTCAACTGGCCTCACTCAGGCACAGGGCTTGTCACTGTTAGCTCTGCCTTTTCCTTTCTTTCAGGTACTGATGATTCAGCGGCCTCTCACGAGTGGATATGGAAGATCAAAGCAATCGAAAGAGTCAAGCTCTTCGTTTGGAAAATCGTCAAAAATGGTCTGTTAGTGAACACAGAGAGGAAAAGACGGGGCTTGACGATCGACAGCTCTTGTCCAAGGTGTGGCGCTGAGGAAGAAACACTTGACCATCTCTTCCGGCAGTGTGAAGATTCGAGGAACTGCTGGAGCATCACTTCACCACTGCGGAACTTCAACGCTAGCAATCACCTCCCCATTGGATGCTGGATCGAGCAGAAATGTGCAGGCGGCGTGGGGTATTCTCCAAATTTGAAGTGGCGGTCTCTCTTCCCCTACGTCTTATGGAACATTTGGAAAGCTAGGAACAATGTGACCTTCAATAACCAAATCACACCTTCTCCAGTCATTATCAAACGTGCTTGTTCAGAAGCCTCGGAGGCCAGCCAGTCTCTCGCTTCCAGAAAGGGTCCTTTACCAGCGTCACAGATTTGGGTTCACTGGTCCCCACCCCAATCGGGTTTCATTAAGCTCAATTCGGATGGCGCAAGGAAAGCTCTATCCGGCCTTGCCAGTGCGGGTGGCATCCTTAGAGACCAACAGGGAAATTGGCTGGCAGGCTTCATAACTAAAATTGGGGTCACCAACAGCTTCATCGCCGAGCTTTGGGGTATCCGAGAAGGGCTCCGCCTAGCAAAAAACAGGGGCTACGACAAGCTCATTGCTGAGACAGACTCCTTGTCCACCACCCAAGTTCTTCATAACAGCTCAGGCAACACTCCGGAGGCCGATACGCTCATTGCGGATTGCAAGACCTTAATGCAGTCCTTTCTCGTCTTCGAACTCAAGCATGTTCTTCGTGAAGGCAATCAGTGTGCTGATTATCTTGCTAATTTGGGGCAAGGCGCGTCATGGGGTACAACGATCCTCGATCAACCTCCTGATGACATCAAACCGCTCTTGGTTCGTGATGCCAACAGCGTAACTTTTAGTAGATTTCATTAATCCCCGGGGCTTCGACCCTTTTTCTTACCAAAAAAAAAAAATAATATATATGTGGAGTTATACTCGTGTGAGATCATCTCACGGCGAGATCTTTAATACGAGAGATAGCTTGAATTTATATTGATTCCTTGTAACTTATGATAAACATTATAATTTATAATATTTATTACAAAAAAGTTTAATACTAATTTGAAATAAATTTATTATTTATTATAATATATATTGTAATATTTATATGTGAAATTGTGATACTATTTAAGGTAAAATGGTATATTATTACTAATAATATATATTGTAATGTTTATAACTGAAATTGTGCTACTTATTACAAAGTGTAATTCTAAAGTAAATATTGTAATACTTATATGTGAAATGTTAGTTATAAAAGAAAGCGTAATACTTATTGTAAAAAATTTAATATCAATTTGAATTAAAAATAAATCGTTACGTATGATAGATATTACAATACTTATATGTAAAATTGTGATACTATATTTAGGGTAAATTCAGTGGCGGAGCCACCTTTGAGCTCCAGTGAGCCTTGCCCCTAGGGGTGTGCAAACTTCGGATAATTTTCGGTTAACCGACCGAACCGACAAAGTTCGGTTAACCGTTTTCGAACCGAGCTTTTTCGGTTCGGTTAATGGTTAAAGGAATTTTAAAACTTCGGTTAACGGTTAATTCGGTTCGAAAGGTCGGTTAACCGAATTAACCGAACGGTTAACCGAAGTTTTTAATATATATATATAAATATAAATACTAATTTGAAGTTATGGAAGTTTGGAGTTTATAATTCATGTTTTTTATATTTTGTTATGAATTTATTATGATATGTATTTTATTTTAATTGGATTTATTATTTTAGGTGTTATTTTTATAATTTTAAATTTTAGCTTTAAAAAGTTCAGTTAATCGGTTAACCGACCGATTAACCGAAAAAAATTTCGGTTCGGTGAATTCGGTAGAGCAAACTTCGGTTAGGTTAACGGTTAAAGAAAAAAAAACTTCGGTTAATTCGATTCGGTTAACCGAACGGTTAACCGATTGAACACCCCTACTTGCCCCCCCTCATAATTTTCGAAGCTCTATGTTCATAATTTTAGAGCTCTATGTTCATAATTTTATCACTATATGTTCATAATTGTAAGTTCATAATGTCAGAGCTCTGTGTTCATAATTTCATAACTGTACATTCATACTTCCATAACTGTACATTCATAATTCTGTAACTGTACATTCATAAAATTTTCGAAGCTCTATGTTCACAATTTTAGAGCTCTATGTTCATAATTTTATCACTATATGTTCATACTTGTAAGTTCATAATGTCAGAGCTCTGTGTTCATAATTCCATAACTGTACATTCATAATTTTCGAAGCTCTATGTTCATAATTTTATCACTATATGTTCATAATTGTAAGTTCATAATGTCAGAGCTCTGTGTTCATAATTCTATAACTGTACATTCATAATTTTCGAAGCTCTATGTTCATAATTTTATCACTATATGTTCATAATTGTAAGTTCATAATGTCAGAGCTCTGTGTTCATAATTCCATAACTGTACATTCATAATTCCACAAACGAATAACGTCGTTAACGCCGAGACAAAATCATTTTTTTTTTAAAACTGAAATGCCGTCGTTTTCTCTGAAAACGACGTCGTTTTATACTCGTGTTCATAATGCATTGTGGACACGAGTCCACAACATAATTTGCCCACCTAATGGGGTATATGAAGACTTATTATAGACCGGTTTTTTTTTTTTTTTTTTTTTGAACGCTTATAGACTGATCTTTAATTGTGAATAATTTTAGATGACACTCGATGCACCATAGTGGGACAGTTATACCATGCATCAGGGTCCACCTTGCAAGGTAGACCCAGATGCAAAACACACAATTTACATATTCAATGTTCACAATTTACATATACAATTTACCTTTTATAAAATTGTGAACATTTAATATGTAAATTGTGAACATCCAGTATGTAAATTGCGCAATTTACTTTTTATAAAATTGTGAACATTTAATTAATAAATAAATTATGTATTTTGGATTCGAGTTCACATTGTAAAGTGGACTCGAGTCAAGTGAATAATTTGCCACCATAGAGGGGTAGAAAAAGATGACACTTGATGCAGCATCTAATACTGATCAATTTAAATAACTCAAAATTTGGATATAAGTAATTTGTACCGTCAAGGGGTAAGAAGACCTACAAAGTCTAAAGTGGGGGTATAACCGTATAAGACAAGTCTTTCATGATGACTAATTTAAAGGAAGGATCCACGATACGCAAATTATGCCATGGAATCGTGTTCACCGAGAATGGTGAACACAAGGCAAAACGACGTCGTTTTTGGGCACACAAAAAAAATTTCGCAGATGTGGAGTTAACGGCGTGCGTTTGATCAAATTATGAATTTTCTGTTATGAGATTATGAATTTTATGAAAATTCATAATCTCATAACAGAAAATTCATAATCGCATAACAGAAAATTCATAATCTCACAACTGAAAATTCATAATCTCATAACAGAAAATTCATAATCTTATAACAGAAAATTCATAATCTCATGGTTCCAAAGTGAATGTGTATGCATGGTTCCAAAGTGAATGTGCAGGCATGGATTCATAATTTATGAATGTCCGTGATTTCGGACGGGAATATGTAGGCATGGTTCCAAAGTGAATGTGCAGGCATGAATTCATAATTTATGAATGTCCGAAATTATGAATGTAATGAAAATTCATAATCTCATAACAGAAAATTCATAATCGCATAACAGAAAATTCATAATCTCATAACTGAAAATTCATAATCTCATAACAGAAAATTCATAATCTTATAACAGAAAATTCATAATCTCATGGTTCCAAAGTGAATGTGTAAGCATGGTTCCAAAGTGAATGTGCAGGCATGGATTCATAATTTATGAATGTCCGTGATTTCGGACGGGAATGTGTAGGCATGGTTCCAAAGTGAATGTGCAGGCATGAATTCATAATTTATGAATGTCCGAAATCTTTGTTCACCTCAAATTAAAGTGAAACCGCAAAATGTGAAAATAAAGAAGAAAAGTCACGCAATTAATTAAGAAAAAAAAAAAAAAAAAAAAAAAAAAAAAAAAAAAAGATAACGGTGTACTAACACCGTTGGAACCGTGTTCACCATGAATGGTGAACACGGTTCCATGGCATAACGTCCCTCCACGATACTAGTTTATTTATTTATTTTAAAGTTTAAACAACTAACGTATGTAGTAGTACCAGGACTATGTGGTCTAATGGTACCTGGGTTGGACTTCCATTTGGAAGATTATGAGTTCGAGCCTTAGTGGAGGTGTTATTGGTTCTTTGTGTTTCAGTAGGTTGAGAAAATATATGAACACATACTACAACGTAATAGAGCCAGTAGCTATAAACAAAAACGCATGTAGTTCGAATTATAATTGATTGATTAATAAATACAAAATAATACTCTGTAATTATTAACCCCTAAAATTTCAATAGAGTTAATGATAATATATATGTTCCAATTTTAGGGTTGGGGTTGAATCATTTGAAAGAACGACAATATATATGTGGAGTTATACTCGTGTGAGATCATCTCACGGCGAGATCTTTAATACGAGAGATAGCTTGAATTTAGATTGATTGCTTGTAACTTATGATAAAAATTATAATTTATAATATTTATTACAAAAAAGTTTAATACTAATTTGAAATAAATTTATTATTTATTATAATATATATTGTAATATTTATATGTGAAATTGTGATACTATTTAAGGTAAAATGGTATATTATTACTAATGATATATATTGTAATGTTTATAACTGAAATTGTGCTACTTATTACAAAGTGTAATTCTAAAGTAAATATTGTAATACTTATATGTGAAATGTTAGTTATAAAAGAAATCGTAATACTTATTGTAAAAAATTTAATATCAATTTGAATTAAAAATAAATCGTTACTTATGATAGATATTACAATACTTATATGTAAAATTGTGATACTATATTTAGGGTAAATTCAGTGGCGGAGCCACCTTTGAGCTCCAGGGAGCCTTGCTTTTTACTAGCATTCAACAAAAAGGTTCACGTGTGAACGAACTCTTAAGTAAAAAATGGGGTGAGAAAAAAACGCTTGCTTGATGTATTTTCAACGAGTATAAATTTTGGTGTATAGTTTCGACTTGTTGCACCTTAAATGTCAAAGTTATACACATACATCTTGTTTCAAACTAATGCACCTAACCTAATTTAAAAGGAGGATTCACTATAAGAATTGTGAAGCTTAACACAGGCTCCTTCTATATATATTGCTCCCATAAACAAAACTCTTATTAAGCACTTGCCAAATATTATATTATATTCATCACTTTCAACCCGCCCACCATGAAACATAATACTTGTAATATTATGCTGCTGCTTGTTCTTCTTCTATTCATTTGCAAATCTGAGTATTGTTACTCAAATAATGCTAGCTGCATTGAAGTGGAACGAGTTGCTCTTCTCAGGTTCAGGGAGAGTCTAATTGATTTATCATACCGTCTTTCTATCCCTGATTGGTTTGTAACTTTAATATGGGCTTGCAGAGTAATAGATCTCTCTAAAAATAATATTAGAGGAGAACTCCCCATGAGTGATGAAGTTAGTTTCCTAAGTGTTGTATTCAAGTTTTCAAGCAATCATTTGACTGGTGAAATTCCAAAGTGGTTGTGCAGTTTAGAATTTTTAGAGATCCTTGATATTTCTTCAAATAAGTTGTCTGGAGAAATACCTTCGTGCTTTGGAGAACTACAAGAGTTGAGATATTTAAATTTGGGGAATAACCAATTATTTGGTCACATTCCAAATTCATTGGGATCTCTCGATGTCCTCTACTCTTTGCACTTGCAGAACAACAAATTTGAAGGAGGACTCCCTTCAAGCTTGCAAAATTTACAAAGCTTGATCACTTTGGATTTAAGTGAAAATGGATTAATGGATGTTATTCCCCCCCTTGGATCGGAGAAAACCTAGCAAGTCTGGTGTTTCTTAATTTTCAGAAAAATAATTTCTTTGGAGATATTCCAATTCAATTGTGTTATTTGAAAGCTCTTCAGTTGTTGAACTTGGCAAATAACAATATATCTGGGCCTATCGCTCGGTGTTTCAACAACTTCACTGCAATGGCTAATGACTCTTTTATCTTCCAGCATTTTGAGGAAAAAATTCGTGAAGATATAAAAGGATTGGAATTGGAGTATACTACAAACCTTGAATTTCTTAGATCCATTGACCTTTCAAGGAATCATATCACTGGAGAGATCCCATTAGAAGTGATGAGTTTGTGTGCATCGATTAATCTAAATCTTTCTAGAAATAATCTGAGTGGGACTATCCCTCTGACAATTGGCAGTCTGAGCAAAATTGAATCTCTTGATTTGTCAATGAATGCACTCTCCGGTCCCATTCCTCAAAGTTTATCATCTTTGAATTTTTTGAGCTATCTGAATCTGTCATTTAACAAGTTATATGGAAGAATATCAACGGGATATCAACTCCAGACCCTCGATGATCCATCCATTTACATTGGGAACGGAGGACTTTGTGGTGTCCCGCTTTTGAAGAGTTGTCCTGGTGATGATAAACCGTCATTTGTTAATCAACCTACAGAAACCAAATTAACCAAGGATAATCATGAGCTTTTGATGTGGTTCTACGCTGGTTTGGGACCTGGTTTCTTTGTTGGATTCATTGGAGTATTATGTACTCTATTGTTCAAGACATCTTGGCGCTATACATATTTCAAATGTCTGGAGATCACTTTCAACAAAGTGTTAAGTGGCATTTCAATTAAACGGAACAGGTTAGTTTTCCATCAAATGCTAGTTTTAGTCGATACGAATTCAATGATTACATATACGAATTCAAATGCTATTTTATATGACTAGATCATATTCAATGTCATGCTCTATTTATGTTACCCACTCTTCTTCTTCTTTATATATATATAACATATTTTGCAGGCGTTGATGGCATTGAGGGTTTCCTTTGCGATAAACGAACTTGTTGCTTATGTGTATGTACTTCTGGCAATATATGTTGCAGTAGCAATATGATCGGTGCTTTAGTATGTGTTTTGTAATAATTTGATTGCCATATATTGGATTCTCAATCTGTTCTCAACAGATTCTGTTGGTCGTTTCTTAAATCATGTCATTTATAATTATAGTTGATTTGATATCATGATGTTGTTTTTATAACGAGGTGTTTGATATAATGGTGTATCAATTTATTTTTCACAAATTTATTTGACTTTAAATTAGCAGTTTGAGGATTGGTGTTAAATAGTAATTAGAAGGCTTCCTTCAATAAGCTACTTTAAATATTTGGTAAATTGCTTATTGCATTAACTTTTTTTTGAAAGTTACTGGCTCTGTTACATTGTAGTATTTGTTCATATACTTTCTCAACCTACTGAAACACAAAGAAGCAATAATTCAAAATTCGAAAAGTTAAGAAGAGTACAGTAGTGTTTTTTGTTAGTTGATTAGCTTTAATTATGAAATGATCATTTTACCCTTGTCATCTCTAACATTTATATCTCTCTTAGCTTGTTGTTGCTGATTTGCCTGGAGGCCCCTTTTTATTTCTATTTCCGTAACAACAATAGTAATGTTTTTTTTTTCTTTCTTATATCACTCATCCTTCTAATAATAATAATAATAATAGTAATAATAATAATAATAATAATAATTAAAAGTTAAGAAATTAGCACAATATGCTTATGAAAAAATAAACAGTGAATTTATCAAACACTTTTTTACAACCAATTAATATTATCATATGGTCAAACCAACTAACTCAATCAACTATTAGCTAACTTAATCATCTATTAACAATCGGTTATTAGTTTTTTCAGCCATTAACAATCATCTATTAACAATCATATGGACAGACTTATTGTGACGAGGACATTTTTGGTCCTCCGATCCGTCTGTATATCTGTTAAATGACCATGTAAGTGAGGGGTAATTGTGTCATTTCAGCCTAACTCCTACAATGGCTGCTTGTTTTTCCTCCTTCCCCGGGAACTGATGGTGTGTCGGCACCAAACACTCTAGCATTACTCCAACAAAGAAACACCCGACCCAATGCATTGCTTAATTGGCAAAATCTTACCCAATGTGGTGCAGGGTGGAGTGTTTAATATGCGAATCTTACAGTCTTATGTCTGTTGGCAAAACCCGCCCTTCCTTCCATCTTCACGGGCAAAGGTGCAGAAAAGACGAAAGTTCCATTATCATCCTGATCCCATGGCGCAACAAAAGCAGGAAGAGGAAGATGAAGAGGTTAGAAACTGATATTTGTATTGTTGTTTTCTTCAGAAAAGTATCATCACGCACGGGTCGTCTAAAATCAAGAACAAAACAGGCATGGATGAAATATATAGGAGATAACATGAAATGACGTAATTACCCCTCACTTACATGGTCATTTAATAGATATATAGGCGGAGGACCAAAAATGTTCTCGTCACAATAAGTTTGTCCATAAAATGACAAATTTTTTTATGGAGAATCAAAATTGTCCGTGCCACAAGTCTATAACTAAAAATGTCTTTTACTCTATTAGTTATTTGCCAAACAAACCCTTAATACAAATAATTTAAAGGAAGCATTTTTATTAAATTAATATTGTTATTACTCCTATGATCTTATCTCAAAAGAGTGACTAGTTTCACTTTAATTTTACCACATTGAAGCAAAATCAATCAAATTTCAATAATATTTTAACAGTTGTTAGGAAGAAAAGAAGAAGCAAACAAAAAATACTAGACTAGCTACTTTCACAAAGTCTTGGTCATGGAGTCTTCCGAAAGATACATTCACTTCTGGAAATCTCTCGTACGTTGTGTGTATGAAATTGTTGAAGAGGACAAAAATACTTTTACAAAGTCTTAGTCATGAAGTCTTCCGAAAGATACATTCACAAAGTCTTGTATGTGTGCTATGAAATGGTTGAAGAGGACAAAAATGCTAACCGTGAAGATTGGGCAATAAATTGTGCATATTTCTTTTGACACAATCAAAATGCTTCAAAGTACTTTTGTTTTTTTATTCAAATCTTTCAACTAATTTAACGCAAATCTTCCGTAAGTGACGATGACCAACTTGTCAAGAAAAATAGCACTATGATATATTTGCAAAGAAATTGTTGGAATCTCCACCAAAAAAGAAGAAGAAGAAATTGTTGGAATGAAGTTGGAACAATGATGTCAACCCTGGAGTTTGGGTAAGAAATATGATATATTTAATTTTACAGACCAAATTGTAATTAACTATTTAAACACTAACAAGGTTCTTAAAAGACAAGAGAGAGAGCGACTGCTAAGGAATGGTAAAATGTGCCATTATTTGAAATATAATTGGCAACATATCATATTACATAATGTTATGTTTCCTAGACAAAAATGTTATTTTTTCTTATACAAAACACCACCTAATAATTAGTCAGGGTGTGTATTTATGAGGTTTAAAGAAACAAAAACTCTATATATTTGGACTACACGTCAATTCAAAACTTCTTCATTACTTAATAAGATAAACATTATCATAAAATAAAAATAAAAAAAAAGTGCATATAATAACGTCGCACTATGTTATTAGTGATTTTAATAAGATAATGTAACATGATTCTTTCCTAAATTATTTAGCAGTAGTAGAAGGACTAGGGTTGGTTAAATTTTGAAAGTTGAAGTACAACGGGTAGTTATTTGGATCACTGATGTTAACAATTTGAAAGTCAAAGGATCACATACGTGTCGTTAATTTGAAAGTTTAGGACTAAACGTGACAAAATCACTATACTCATGAAACCTCATATGACATTATCTTTAACAATTAATAATTATACAAGACTACATGGGTAGCTCAACTGGTCATAGAGGTGAAACTTTGAAAGAATGACCAGGGATCAAGTCTCACCAGCGGCAGTGTGGGAGCAACCTCTCAAAGTGAGGGGGGCTTCTTGTGCGCAGTGAGCACCGGTCTAGCCTCTATGGTTCATGTTCAGTTGAGTCACCATGATTCACACCCTCCCAAATGCTTTGTTGGGCCGGGTTGGGGTTTAGCCTTTTGGAAGAATAATTATTACCCAAATTATCACTTATACTTTTAATATAATATGAATTATACAACTATAATTTTTTAAAAATTTATATACTATTGTTTAAAAAATATTTTAATATAACTAAACTTTTAACATTAATTAAGTATTAATATTTGACATCTATTTTTGTGTATCGTGCATACAAAAGACTAGTATTTCAATAAGTGGAACCAAGTTGATCAATCACATGATATTACTAGTGATGGTGATATTATTGCTAATGATACACTACCCTCTTATGGAACCAAGTTGATCAATCATACTGTTCAAGTCAAAGATTTGGTATATGTTTCTTATGGAAAATATTGCAAGACGTGATGGTGATATTATTGGTAATGATACGCCCTCTTATGGTCGAGGAGAAAACCACCTAATTGTGTGGTTGGGTGCTTATTAATAGATTTCAAAGTATCATTACAAAATTCAATTCACACATGCCAACAAACCCTAGAACGTCCAATCAATTCTTCTCCTTATACAATACAAATCAAATAGGCATCAGTAACAAGAAATCAAACCAAATCCAAATCCTAAAAAACTTTCACTCAAAATATCACCATAAATACACAATATTAAGGAAGTAATTGACGTCATAAGTGAACAGTAAAGAAATAGATAAATAAAAAACTTATCTATTAAGAGCTTCATATTAGGACTCTATGTATATGAGTCTGTTTAGAACTTCTTATCCTTGTCACACTGTGACTCTCTACTTCTTATCATTGTCACACTGTGACTCTCTACTCTATATATTCACATCATCTGATCTCATTGTAATCAAGTTCAGTAAAATACAATACAATCAGTTCTCATCTGGTATCAGTAAGCTAGGGTTTTTTTCTTTGTCTCTCGTCCCTATGGCTGACGGATTTGTTAATTCCTCCGAACGGACCGTGTCTGATGCTGCTATGTCGTCAAGTTCGTCGTCAATTGTGTCGCTATCCACCGCACATCACTTCATCAGTACGAAGTTAACCTACAAGAATTATTTGTTCTGGCGTACGCAAGTCGTCTCGTTTCTTCACGGGCATGACCTAATGGGGTTTGTTGATGGTACGAAACCCTCACCGGCTGTTCTTCTTTCTGCCGACGCCGACACCGCCGACGCCATGCCACGGCCGAATCCCGCCTATGCCGTTTGGATGCGTCAAGATCAAGCATTGTTGTCCATGCTTGTCTCCTCCCTCTCCGACGAGGTCATGCCAATCGTCGTCGGACGTCGCACGAGTCGTGCCCTTTGGGAGGCCATTATTCAGACGTTGTCGTCTTCCTCCCGCGCCCGCGCGTTAAACCTTCTCGGCCAGTTGCAAGGACTGGACCAGGGTGATAATTCGGTTGCGGATTACATCGGGCGAGCTCAGGTGATTGTTGAAGAGCTCACCCTCGCCGGCCGCGTCGTCTCCCTCGACGATCAGAATCTCTTTGTTTTTCGCGGCTTGAGACCGGAATTCCGTGCCCTCACCGCGTCTCTTGCCGTCCGTGGGCAGCCGGTCACGCTCCAGGAGTTGGCGGACTTCCTCGGTGCCCAGGAATTTATCGCAAGTCGTGATTATGGCGGTGCTCCGGCGGCTCTTGTTGTTCAGCGCGATGGTGGCCGATCAGGTCGCGGAGGTCAGAACCGTGGCGGCGGTCAACGAGCAGGCGGTGGCAATGGCGGGTCCTATCGTGGTGGTGGCGGTAGACAGCAAGGTGGCCGTGGGCGTGGTGGCCGCGGTCGCGGACGCAACAGTGGTGGCAATCAGGTTCAGTGCCAGATATGTAGGCGGACTGGTCACGAGGCTCATGTATGCTATAACCGGTATGATTCCCCACCTCAGGCCAATCTAACATATCAAGATAATTCAGATGTTGGTACTCCTCAGACATGGATCCAGGATACAGGGGCAACTAATCATGTTACTCCGGACATTGCTGCTTTGACCACCTCAGAAGAATATGTTGGCAATGACACCTTGCGTGTCGGTGACGGTATGGGTTTATCTATTAGTCATGTTGGCCATGCTTCTTTTAATACCCCTTCTAGATCATTC